AGATGCCATAGCGACCCAGGCGGCCCGCATGGCATCAGGGAGATGTCCTGGCCGGGCCCCGCCGTGCCTCGGGCGCCATAGCGGCTGCCTGGGTCGCTATGGTGATTGTTACGCCACTGGTACCATCCAAACAGAGTATGATTTATTAAAATAAAATTACTCACATAAAAGCAGTGGTAACATAGCATGGAATCTCTCTCAAGGTGCTCATACACTGCTCGGTTCTCGTACGAGAATCGCGGGAAATCCCGCGATCGTACGAGAATCGAGCAGTGTGAATGAAGACGTGCGACCGTTTTCTTCTGTACAGTAGCACGTCTTTTGTCTAAGCAGCATGCTAGAAAACCAGCCGAGAATCGTACGATTTTCGGCTGGTTTTTAGCATGTTCGTAAGATCAAAGCCGCACGGGCCGGTGTGCGCACGCGCACACTGCCCGTTCAGCATTGCGGTCGTCGGAAGCCGGCCCCTCAGGGGGGCGGGCTTTCGATGATCGCAAGTACAATCTGCCTGTCCAAAATGGGCAGATCGTACGTTTGTTAAATTACTTTACAAGCATCGCAAGACTAAGGTCTTGCGATGGTTGTAAAGTGTATGGCCACCTTTAGGAGTGTGTGCAGGAGATCTAAAATACTGCGGCCGTCAGTCATAGAGATCAATCTGACGTCACAATGATCTCTGTGATTGACGGCCGTTGTCATGACTTTGAAAGTGATGCAGATGTATTGAAAAGCAGATTTTTGAACAGAGGATACAGCAAACAATGGGTCAGTAGAGAACACCATGCAAAGGATATGACACAAGATGACCTTCTGTATGGCAATAAAGAAAGGAGAAGCAACAAACATAGTTGGTAAAATGTGAGATATACAAGTATATGTAATCAGATACGGGACATTTGTGACACATATTGGTATCTTTAAGCCCTCGTTCACACCTGATCGTTTTGTAGGGCAGGGCGCCCTACAAAACGGCACACGACTGAAAAGGTCCCAGGACTACTTTGGGCCGTTTTGTAGGGCGTTTTCCATTGCGATACAGCCAAGTAGCCTTCGGAATCGCGCGACGGTTGCGTGACTTTTTTACCACGAACCGCGGTAAAAAAACGCGCGACGGTCGCGCGTCAGACGCGCATATTACAATACGCCTAGGTGTGAACGAGGGCTTAGTGCCCATTCACACCTGACCGTTTTGTAGCGCGTTCTACGCTCGACGAACGCTCTACAAAACGGTCCAAAATATAAATAGCATTACAGTCAATGGTCTCGTTCCCCACCAGTCCGTATTTCCGCCCGTCCCGAACGCACTACAAAACGGCCCACGCATGAAAACGTCCCGGAGCTTTTTTGCTGCGTATTGGTCCGTTTTGTAGCGCGTTCGCGCCCATAGACTTCGACGGGAACGGGCGAAATGTATGTTTGTGCGTTTTTGGTCACAGAAATCGCGAATAGAACGCGCGTTCCACACATGGCTACAGACCACTCCCCCAGAGAGCTGTTGCAGAAGAAAAGATGGAGGATTGTGCCATGCTGGATTCTGAGACCTTCATACGACAGGTGCAGGGAAGGCCATGTATATATGACATGCGCCATGCAGATTATAAAAACAGGCGCATCAGGCAACGTGCATGGCTGGACATAGCAGAAGCTACGTGGCCGGATTGGGAAACCTTCCCAAAGCAAGTAAAAGAATCAAAAGCTACATTAGCAACTGTTTTATGTCTTGTTTATTACTCTTGACAGTACCGACAGTAGCTGGGAGCCTGGTGAGAGGCCTGAAGAGGAGGAGCTTGAATCGGCCACATCGCCAACTGAGCATTCGTTCTCCCAGGACCACTGAGCCCACCATTGTAACAGTGAGAGAGTTTATAGCAAATCCTAAGATCACTTACAGGAAAGCTAGATCCACTGGAGATATTTTAGTACATAGCTCCTTGGAACATAGGGCCCTGGGAGATAGAAAATGTTTCAATTGTGAGTATTATTATTATTATTATACAGGATTTATATAGCGCCAACAATTTGCTCAGCGCTTTATAAAATAGTGCAGACAGTACAGTTACAATACAATTTACAGTACAATACAGTTTCAGAACAGTAGGGTTGGGAGGGGTTGGGAGGGCCCTGCTTGTGAGAGCTTACAATCTAGTAGGAGTGGCAAGTGATACAAAAGGTAATAATTGTTTGGATTGAGTTATTGAAGGACGTAAAAGCCAGTTATGTTGAGATGAGGTAGGCTTCCCTGAAGAGATGGGTTTTTAAGTATCGCCTAAAGGTGGGCAGCGAAGGAGATAGGCGGACAGATTGGGGTAAGGAATTCCAGAGGATGGGGTACACTCTGGAGAAGTCCCGGAGGTGAGCATGGGAGGAGGTAATAAGAGAGCTAGAGAGCAGGAGGTCTTGAGAGGAGCGGAGAGGACGGTTTGGGTGATATTTTGAGATGAGGTTTGTGATGTAGATGGCTTTGTATGTTGTTGTTAGTATTTTGAATTTTATTAGTTGGGCAATTGGGAGCCAGTGCAGGGATTGGCAGGGGGGGGTGGTGGATGGCAGCCGGTTGGAGGGATTGGCAGAGGGGGGCAGCAGACACTGAACGGTTGGTAAGATGGATGAGTCTGACGGCAGCATTTATGATAGACTGAAGGGGGAGGAGCCTGCTTAGTGGTAGGCCAAAAAGGAAGGTTACAGTAGTCGAGACGAGAGATTACAAGGGCGTGAATTAGAAGCTTTGTGGTTTCATTTGTGAAAAAGGGGCGTATTTTGGAAATGTTACGGGGGTTGAGTCGGCAAGATTTGGATAGTGATTGGATGTGGGGCTGAAAGGAGAGCTCAGGGTCAAGGATTACACCGAGTAACCTGGCTTGATGGGAAGGGTTGATCATAGTGTTGTTGATAGTGATGGGGAAGTTGGGGGAGGGAACACAGAGGATGAGGAAAAATTATAAGCTCAGTTTTGGACAGATTGAGTTTGAGGTAGTGGTGTGACATCGATGCTGAGATGTCACTGAGTAGATTTGAGATACGTGTAGAGACAAAGGGGGTGAGTTGAGGAGTGAAGAGATAGATTTGGGTGTCATCGGCATAAAGATGGTATTGGAAGCCATGTGAGGCTATCAATTGACCCAGAGAAGAAGTGTAGATAGAAAATAGAAGGGGCCCAAGGACAGACCCTTGGGAGAACCCCACTGAAAGAGGAAGAGGAGAGGAGGAGGTAGAATTGTTGGTGACCCTGAAGGTGCGCTGAGATAGGTAGGAGATGAACTATGAGAAAGCAGAGTCTTGGAGGCCAAGGGAATTAAGTTTATTACGGAGAAGCGGGAGGTCAACTGTGTCAAAGGCAGCAGAAAGGTCTAAAAGTATGAGAACAGAGTAGTGTCCACTGGTTTTAGCAGTTAGTAGATCATTAGTAAGTTTGAGAAGGGCAGTTTCTGTGGAGTGTTGCGGCCGAAAGCCAGATTGGAACGGGTCAAGGAGATTGTTAACTGTAAAGTGGCTGCTCAGGCGGTTGTAGACCAGCCGTTCAAGAAGTTTGGAGGTAAATGGGAGCAGGGAGATGGGTCTCAAGTTGTTTAGAATGGTGGGCCCCATGTATGTTTTTTTTTAATATGGGGGTTACCAGTGCTTGTTTTAGAGGGGTAGGGATGACACCATTAGAAAGGGAGAGATTGAAGATGTGAGTAAGGGAGTGTAGGATAGAGCTAGAGGGTGACCGGAGTAGTTGTGAGGGGATGGGGTCCAGGGGGCAGGTGGTTAGGCGAGTGTTAGACAAAAGAGTGGCGACTTCGTCAGTGGTAACTGGATCAAAAGAAGAGAGTAGTTAGTGTGGTGGCGGACAAGGTATGTTTGGAGTGGGGGAGGTCTGGGCAGTGGAGATTTCATTGGGAATTGCATCAATCTTGTCTCTGAAGTGAGTGGCAATTTCCTGGGCTGTCAGTGAGTTGGTCGGGGGACGAAGTAGGGAGTTGAAAGAGTTGACGAGGATTAGATGAGAGGGAGTTAATGAGTGTGATGAAGTAGGTCTGTTTGGCTGTGTGGAGGCAGGTACTGTAATTTTGGAGGGCAGATTTATATTGGGTGAAATCTTGCAGGGATTTGGATTTGCGCCATTGTGGCTCAAGTGCACGACTATGTCTTCTGAGTTGTCATCTGTCAGCCAAGGCTGTAGAGGACGGGGCCTAATTTTATGAGAGGTGAAAGGGGCAAGTGTGTCCATACAGGATGAGAGTGAGTTATTGTAGAGATAAGTAGCAAGGTCAGGGCAGGACAGGGTTTTGAGTAAAGAAGAGAGGGATTGAAGTGCGAAGGTTCCTACGGGTGGCGGTTTGCTGGTTGGAATGTTGCAGGGCAGATGAGAGGGAGAGTGTGAATCTGACAAGGTTGTGATCAGAGAGTGGAAAAGGGGTGTTGGTGTGATTGCAGGTAGTGCAGAGGTATGAGAATATGAGATCAAGGGTGTTGCCATCAGAGTAAGTAGAAGAGTTAGTCCATTGTGTTAGGTCAAAGGATGAATTTAGGTTGAGTAGCTCAGAGGTTGAGGTGTTACTAATATTGACAGGTACATTAAAGTCACCGAGAATGACAGTGGGTGTTTCAGAGGAAAGAAAATAGGGTAGCCAGGCAGAGAAGTTATCAAGGAAGCGTGATACCGGCCCTGGAGGCCGATAAATCACAGCGATCCTCAGAGAAATAGGGGAAAACAGACGTATACAATGAACTTCGAAAGAGGAGAGTGATAGAGAAAATGGTGTAGGTGGTGAGTATTGTAAATACATGATTGAGGACAATACAAAAACATTCTCAACAAGGAAAACACTAAGATGTTTTGGGAATTTCGGTTGTGCCACTCGCGGGGTTGTCTATATGCTGATTTGCACTTGTGGTGCTTTCTATATAGAGAAAACCATTAGGAAGGTCAAACCTTTCAGTAAAGGTTCCCTGTTACACAACACTTCAATCATAACAGAAGAATGAAGGTCTGAGAGGGGGGGGTGATTGAAAAGGTCTTTTGGGGGCTTCAGAGAAGGTGATCTCAACAAGAAAATATTAAGGAGAGAACGCAGATGGATTTGACGTCACAAGCCGCCCATCCCCCGGGTTTGAATGATAATTTCGGCTTTTTTTTTTTTTCATTTCTCTTCTTTTCTTAATTTTCTTACATGAACGGGTATACGGTGGAAATGATTTATTATTTTACATGTTTAGATATAATGATTTCCATGATGACACTTTATGGGGAAATGGACTAGAAGACTCCTGAGATTGTGAATAATAGAATATATTATATTTTTGGATATATTGGTTGCATCATAGGTGTGTGACCACTGTGTGGTGATAAATGAAGTACAACAGTTAAATAACACCATGTGTGGTCACCATGTAATTAATTTACCTGATGTGCTGGGTCACTATTTGTCAGGTGACATGTACATTGTTTACATCATAGTTCTTTTTGGTCTCCAATATGGTGGCTGATGGTGGAGATGCTGCATGTGCCCGACATTAGTGGGGGCAGGGCCTGCACATGCACAGTTCTTTCTCCACATACAGTTCTTCTGGGTATGAGCCATGGCGTTGTGACGTTAAATGTGTGCCATGATCAACCAGGCCATGGTGGTACACAGCACGCTTGCAATCATTGCGACTAGGCCATTTTCACAAGGTATAATTATGTATATTAATGAGCAATACCTTGGCAAGAATGGATCTCTGAGGAACCCAGGAGAGACTGCCGAAACCAGTCAGTCAGATCTTACTACCCACCCACCATTGGGACCCCATTAGGAATCACGCTATGCCAGTGACTTGGTCCTTCACTGCCTGTGGATTGGTGAACAACATCATGTTTTTCTTTTCTTTTGAGCTGCAAATTGTAAGTAGAGTCTTTGCTTATATCCATGGAGGATGTACAGGAGGATACACCACTACAATAACAGCAAGTATATCTGGAGGATGGATATGTTATAAACTGCTTACAATCCAAGAAGTATACCAAATACTCCCCCATGTTACACTGTCATTGTTAGATCACATATGAAACAGCGAGATCAAACATTTCCTCGGGTTGCTTGAGTAACTCTATACATGACATTGCCTGGTTTACCTAATCTGTACCTGCTAGTGAGATCAGTGTGTGTGTGTGTTTGTCAAAAACCTGTGTGCCCATCTACATGAACGCTACTGACTGGAGGTGTCTGGGCAAAGTTCCTTACAAGCCTGTAATTTGTGAGTGGTGCCAACATCAGGGGCGGACTGACAACACATGGGGCCCCCGGGCAATACATGGTTATGGGGCCCCCTTGTGCTCCTCCCATATACAAGCCCCTCCCACAAGTCCCACCTGTATAAACATTCTTGTGTCACAGATCAGGCAGGCACAGCCCTCTAATGAAGGAACTTCAATAAATGAACATTTGCTTATTCTAAAAAGGATTTTGGTGTGCCGGTGACATCTCTACACAATTGCTGATATTTGCGGCACCATCCGCAGTCACTGCGAGCACCCTGCCTGATAGGGTAATTATCAGGCAGGTATGGCAGAACAGTGTCCAGAATAACCTTATGAAGGTGTGTTTATCACTCAGGGCCCGTTCACACTCTCCAGTGCATTCATCGCACAGTCTCATGGGATGAACGTAATGGATCGCATAAACAAAGGCTCATTCTGGGGTGGGAGGGGGTGTGGGTGCTCCATTCATGTCAATGGCGCTGCAGACATGCCTCCCACCCACACTGGAACATGTGTGCGGTGTGATTGCAAAACATCAGGCATGCACTATTTTTTTGTGATTGCACTGGACTAGAACTGGAGGGGAATTTATCAAACTGGAGCAGCCGTGCATGGCAACCAATCGGCACCTCTCACTCATTTTCAAATGTTGAACTGAGGAGAGAAGCCGATTCACACTGGACCAGAACGCAGGCACTAATGTGTCACGCGTTCAGGTGCTGGCGATCGCAATGCAGAGGGGTGGTGTGCAGGGGCGTATCTGCCGCGAGGCAAACAAGGCATTTGCCTTGAGCGGCAGTTTCCAGAGAGCGGCCGCCCCCAAACCAGTGATACGGAACCTCACCTGCTAGGCTGAGCGCAGACCACACAGATAAGGATGCCCATCAGCAATAAGTGTATGACACCGCCTCCTTCTTCATGAGATGAGGGGGCCCATCAGCCGCCGAAAACTGTGGAGGGAGCCCAGGAGAAAAAAAAAGCCTACAGGCACTGCAGGGGGCAGCCCTTGGCCTCGGCTGTGAGGACCCAGCAGACAGCCGTCTGCAGCTGCAGGTCGGCCGAGAGAGGAGACCTGTATGCGGTGGCGGCTGGACCTGCAGGCAGTGACCCCACTAGTTTCGGCCCTGGGTGACGGGCCCCCTGAAGGCCGCGGGCCCTCGGGCAGTGCCCGACGGACCGAATGGTCAGTCCGCCCCTGTGCAACATAGATATTAATGTATGCGTGTTGTTGTATATTGGCTGCTACTTATGTCTGGGTTTGTGTCCTTTGGGGTTCTTACAATGATTGGCAAGCTTGCTGGTCATGTTTTGGGGAACGTGGTGTTCTTGTGATAATTTGCCAGCATGCTTGTTGGTTTTCAAAAATGCTCTGTGGACGGTGATACCTCATGTATCGTCCAGCCTTTTTATTTCCTGTACATGTCCATGACATCCACAATCTGAAAACCAGCATAACAATTATTGGGATTAAATTATGAATTAAGAGACCAAACTTTATATATAAATATCTGATGTATACATCTTTTATGAGGTTTATATGTCTTACTAGACTCCCTGACCTTGTAATATAGTTGTGTTCTGTCTCTGAGTTGTATCTTCATATACAGTAATGTAACCACCTTTTAGGAAGGTAACTACATTACAGTAGGAGTTATGGTCTTCTCTATTTGCACAGAATGAACGTTCAGAGAGATTCGCAGAGTGAATAGCTCTGTGAATTGTTTATAAACAGACCACTTAGACATGAACACAGAAGTTTTTGTTTTTTCTGAGTAACATAGTTTTATTTTGTTTAGATTCATTATTTGACAAACTACAACTACAAGGTGTGCAGTGGAATACATCCTCTTCCAGACAGCTAGGAAAACATAGACATGTCACAGTTTTGGAGGTCTTGAGGATATGTTCCCTATAGATAAGACATTTTATGAACGTTAGCATTCCTTCTGCCCTGTACTTCTGAGGTTTACCAGCAGACATCATTCTCAGTCATGGTGCCATTGTAGACTTCTATCTCGCACAGGCACAATTGTTAACTGTGCCTCGGGATCACCGCGCTGATGTACCGACCCGCCAACCCATTGCAGCAGAAAGTTGTGGTGATAATATTATAGTTGGTGATCGTACCGCACCTGCCAAGGACAAGGAAAGACCAACACAATGATACAGAAAATGGAACCCGTTCACTTGGGGGAGATTCACAAAATGGGCCCATAGAAAACATACACTGCTATGCGGCTTAATAAGACACAAAAATGTATAATAACTAGGCAATAGAGATGAGCGGAGTGACTTAGGGGAAAACATACTAAACTCACTATTAATCCATATCCATTTTATAGCAAAAGCAAGCCAAAGCCAGGACAGCCTGTGTACTATCATAATTGGTTGCTAGTAACTGCTCTGTATTGATTGCTAGGATGCAGGCAGGCCTAGCCTAACAAACCAATGTTGCTATGGTTCTGCCTGTGTCTTAGCAACTAGCATCATTGGTTGCTAAGATGTTAGCAGCTCCACAGCATCATAGGTTGTCATAGTTCACCTGCCTGCATCCTAGCAACCACTGATGCCATGTGGCTCAGCCA